ACCCCCCAATCGGCCCTACCTGAGCGTGACTGAGGGTGGCATCGCAACCTCCGATCCGCCTGCTCTGTGCATGACGGGGCGGTGCCCCAACTCCCCAATCGGCCGTGCTCTGAGCCTGACCAGGGGCTGCACTTAGGGATTGGGCCTGCCTCTGCACCCGGGAGCAGGCCTAAGCAGCAGGTCATTATTCTCCCGAGGGGTCCCAGACTGCGAGAGGGCACAGGCCCGGCTGGGGGCCATCATTTGCTGAGTGCCGACAAGTGCACAAATTTTTGTGCACCAGGCCTCTAGTAAATATATATTCTTACTTAATAATTAGAATAATAATAGGAACAGATGCCATCTCATGTCATGGTTAGGGAATGGAGGCACAGGGTGGAAGAACTTTGACTTAGGTCACATGGACAGTGCATGGCCCGGTTGTGATTCAACTTCACATCTATCTGATACTTGAGGATCTTAAACCTTTTCTCTGATGGGATGACTGGGAGCCTCAGATTTCAAGTCCTCAAATCTTGCTCAGAAGGCACCTTTCTTAATGAGGACTACCCTAAGACTCTATTTAAAGCTGTAGCCTCATCGCCACCATGCCAAAGTCCATCCTTCTTAAATCATGGTTACGTGATCTAATTTTTGTTTTTAATATTGATTGTCAAAGAAGCTCTAAAGAGCAAGAATCTTTGGGTGTATTTTTTCACCAACATATCCCAGATGCTTGGATAGTGCTAGCCAGTAGAACATTTTGTAATGACAGAAATGTTTTATACCTGTGCTATATAACCACTAGCCACAGAACAAAACTGAAAAGTGGCTAGTGCCACTGAAGGACTGAATTGTTTATTTTATCTAATTGTGCTAATTAAATTTAAATAGCTATATTTTTTCAATAGAATTATTGGCTAAAGAGGGTTCAGATTAAATTAAGAAAATCACTTGAAAATTCAGGTGCTATGACTGAAATAGCAAGCACACATGCTCAAACTTTTGGCTCCTTTTTGTCATCTGTGACTTGAAATCTTGCAAAACTTTTTCTGAAAGCAGGGAAAGCAAACCAGCAGCACATAATGAATTCCCATGTATGCTATTTATATATGATTACAATGTTTATGATAATCATGCAGTACCTTTTTGACCTTGTTTTTTTTCTCATAGGTCTCTGACAGTGGTTTTTTCTTCTGCTGAGTTGTGTCTTTGGAGAATAAATACTCAAATTCACTAGGATCCCGAATATCAGGTTCTTCTAAGGAGTCCCATAAGGTTGGTGTAGCACTTTGGCTTAAAAGAGAAAATGACAAGAGAAAAGAATAAACACAATCTCTAATTCATTTTTAACTCATTAAAAATAATAAAAGTTTACAACTGGATTTTTAAAAAAAGTCAACAAACTGCAAGCACCTGTTAACAGAGCTCTTAACTAAAAAAAAAATACACACAGCCCTAGCTGGTTTGGCTCAGTGGATAGAGAATTGGCCCCTGGACTGAAGGGTCTTGGGTTTGATTCTGGTCAAGGGCACATACTTCGGTTGCAGGCTCGATTCCCAACCCAGGTCAGAGCGTGTTTGGGACGCAATCGATCAATGTGTCTCTCTCATATTGATGTTTCTCTCTCTTTGTCTCTCCCCCTCCCTTCCACTCTCTCTAAAAATCAATGGAAAAATATCCTCATGTGAGGATTAACAAAAATACATAAATACATACACACATATACATATGCACACACATCCCTAATAAAGCTCAGAGAAAAGCTTTTTGCAAAACACATTTTTTAAAATTTTTTTTATTGATTTCAGAGAAGAGAAGGAAAGATAGAAACATCAATGATGAAATGATGAGAGAAAATCATTGATCAGCTGCCTCCTGCATGCCCCACACTGAGGATCGAATCTGCAACACTGGCATGTGCCCTTGACCGGAATCGAATCTGGGACCGTTCAGACCGAAGGCTGACTCTCTATCCACTGAGCCAAACCAGCCAGGGCAAAACACATTGTTTTAAAAATATATATATTTCTTTATTGATTTCAGAGAGGAAGGAAGAGGGAGAGAGAGATAGAAACATCAATGATGAGAGAGAATCATTGATTGGCTGCCTCGTGCACGCCCCCCACTGGGGATTGAGCCTGCAACACAGGCATGTGCCCTTGGCCAGAATCGAACTTGGGACCCTTTGGTCTGCAGGCCGACGCTCTATCCGCTGAGCCAAACTGGCTAGAGCAAAACACATTTTTTAAAAGTCAAAATATAATATAGAACATTAAAGCAAATACACATTTCCAAACAGAATGGTCATTAGATATAATCAAAGAGAGATCTAGAGAGAGAGATCTAGAGAGAGAGAGAGAAACTTTGTGGGACCAGAAATCCTGGGGTTCATACTGTTAGAGACATGCGAGCTGCTTCTCCCTCAGTCTGTAGCATTTCCATGGTGGATAAACATGGGCATCATATAAAGGCTGAGGGATAACCAATCTTGAGACAGTGATGGGATAATTCTTAAACAGAACGAAAATGAGGTACTAAGGTAAAGATTTAGCCTTTCTTTGGATTTCTTCTACTGGTTTTAAATATGGTTTTCTGGTGAAGTAAGTGCAGGACCTATAATATGTGAATGGGCTGTGCTCATTTAGAAATACTTGATTTATAATACCACACTCCAACAACAGTATTAATAATAAAAATTATTATGGCTCAGTGGTTGAGCATTGACCTATGAACCAGGAGGTCACAGTTCCATTTCAGGTCAGCGCACATGCCTGGATTGCAGGCTTGGTCCCCAGTGTGGGGCCTGCAGGAGGCAGCCAGATGATTCGATGATTCTCTCTCATCGTTGATGTTTCTATCTCTCTCTCCCTCTCCCTTTCTCTCTAAAATCAATAAAACTATATTGAAAAAATAATAATAAAAACAAGCCAGGAGAAACCAAGATGGCGGCATAGGTAAACACCGGAGTTTGCTGCCTCGAACAACCACTTCAAAAATACAACTAAAAGATGGAACGGACATCATCCAGAACCACAGGAAGGCTGGCTGAGTGGAAGTTCTACAACTAGGAGGAAAGAGAAAAGCATACCGTGACTCAGAGGAGGCGCAGTGCGGAAGTGAAATACTAAGGTGCGGAGTGCATGTGGAACGGGCTGGCGGCTGAGGGTGCGGTTGTCGTTTTCAATCGGGAAGGAGTCTCAGGCTCTGAGCTCCAGTTCCGGGCGAGTCTCTAGGGACCCAGACTCATACGGAAGAAGCGGGACTGTCTGGCATCGGTCAGAACCCTAGGGCAGCTTTCTCTACAAGGGGCTTGCAACGGGACACTGAGAAGCAGAGCCTCTGAGGGCAAGACTGAGAGCAGCCATAATTGCTAACCCCGCCCTGTTGAACCCGTGGGACCCACCCCGCCCAAGCCCTGAAGGGAGGCTTTTGCTGGATAGCCTCAGGCAAAGGCTAGATTAGCACCTCCCTAGAGATCCAGGAGCCAGGAAGCCCAGAGGTCAGAGTGGGACCATCCAGTTTGCAGCTCCACGGAACCATAAAAGACACACTCAGGGGGCAGACTCAGTGAGCACCAAAGCACCATCGAAGCAAGTCTAGCCCCAGAGGGGTGTCTCCAGCACAGAAGTTCTCCCACTGCAGACACAGCTGATTCTCACAGCCAACTGGCCTGGAGGTCAATTCCTCACAGTGATAACTACAACAATCAAGGCTTAACTACAACAAGACTGTGCACAAAGCCCACAAGGGGGTGTACCAAGAGTGTCTACCTCAGGTAATTGGGACACTTAGCACAGAAAGGCACTCTATCGACACAGTGAACCATAAAAAATGCCAAGACATAGAAACAGGACACAAATGACAGAATTGGAGGAAAGCAAACTGTTGGATATAGAGTTCAAAACCACACTTTTAAGGTCTTTAAAGAACTGTCTAGAAGCCGCCGATAAATTTAATAAGGCCCTCGAAAAGACTGGTGAGACCGCCGATAAATGTAGTGAGATCTTCAAGAAGACTGGTGAGACCGCCTATAAATGTAGTGAGATCCTCAAGAAATCTAATGAGACCCTCGATGTTGTGATAAAGAACCAACTAGAAATTAAGCATACACTGACTGAAATAAAGAATATTATACAGACTCCCAACAGCAGACCAGAGGGTCGCAAGAATCAAGTCAAAGATTTGAAATACGAAGAAGCAAAAAACACCCAACCGGAAAAGCAAAATGAAAAAAGAACCCAAAAATACGAAGATAGTGTAAAGAGCCTCTGGGATAGCTTCAAGCGTACCAACATCCGAATTATAGGGGTGCCAGAAGATGAGAGAGAGCAAGATATTGAAAACCTATTTGAAGAAATAATGACAGAAAACTTCCCCTACCTGGTGAAAGAAATAGACTTACAAGTCCAGGAAGCGCAGAGAACCCCAAACAAAAGGAATCCAAAGAGGACCACACCAAGACACATCATAATTAAAATGCCAAGAGCAAAAGACAAAGAGAGAATCCTAAAAGCAGCAAGAGAGAGAAAATCAGTTACCTACAAGGGAATACCCATACGACTGTCAGCTGATTTCTCAACAGAAACTTTGCAGGCCAGAAGGGAGTGGCAAGAAATATTCAAAGTGATGAATACCAAGAACCTACAACCAAGACTACTTTATCCAGCAAAGCTATCATTCAGAAGTGAAGGCCAGATAAAGAGCTTCACAGATAAGAAAAAGCTAAAGGAGTTCATCACCACCAAACCAGTATTATATGAAATGCTGAAAAGTATCCTTTAAGAAGAGGAAGAAGAAGAAAAAGATAGAAATTATGAACAACAAATACACATCTATCAACAAGTGAATCTAAAAATCAAGTGAATAAATAATCTGATGAACAGTATGAACTGGTGATTGTAATAGAATCAGGGACATAGAAAGGGAATGGACTGACTATTCTTGGGGGGGGGGGAGAAAGGGGTGTGGGGGTGAGGGAAGAGATTGGACAATAATCGTGCACCTATGGATGAGGACAGTGGGTGGGGAGTGAGGGCGGAGGGTGGGGTGGGAACTGGGTGGAGGGGAGTTATGGTGGGAAAAAAGAATAACTAATGTAATAATCTGAACAATAAAGATTTAATTAAAATTTAAAAAAAAAAAAAAACAACAAGCCAAATGATAAAAATGGCCCTCACTGGGATTTCAACTAAAGCAGTCACGGGGAGACTGCTTTGCTTTGTCTTAAAAAAAAAACACAGGGTCACCTTAGTTTTGAAACAAAGAAAGAGACGAAGATATGGAAAATGAGATACAGAAGACCTGCCTCTGAGAGCTGACGGATGGTTAAGATCCAGGCTCCCTTCAGTCAGAACACATTTTCCCCCAAATGTCCGCTTTCTTAACTTTGTTTTTAATCTTATTTTTAAACACTTTTAATGCACACAGATAGAAAAAAATATATCTCATTTACATGTTTGTTTTTTAAACATATATAGATGTTATTATCCATAATATCTATAAGTACTTACCTTTGTTTCAATATATATATTTTCAATCAATGGAAACGAAAAGATCTATTATTATATAAAGTGGCCCGTACAATTTTTTGATACTAAAAGGCGATTTTCATATTCGAAATTGCTTTTCAGATCTGTGTTCACATTTTGCTCTATGTCTGTCTTTCCCATGAAATATGACATTTTGGTTCTGGGCACATTCACAATATTTGAGCCATTGAAGAGCATGTACGTGACATATGTGAGTTATAACATATGACAGTATAATAAATACCTGTGAAATCATCACCCACGGGCTAGAACATTTTCAATGAAGTACATCCATCTACATGCTCCTTCCTCAGGCCCCACCTGTCATTCAACTTCAACTGGTGTTTATCTCAGCGGCACTGAGGAAGGGGGATCTTAGGGCTGCTGGTTTGGAGCTCACAAAATTTCTGGGAAGCTGGGGAGAGGATGCTTGGAGGGAGGTGATGTGAAGCATAAGGCAGGTTGTTCAGACTCACCCCTGTCACCTCTGTACCTGTACTGCTTGGCCCAGCTCCCAAGGACTGGGCTCGGGTCAATACAACTAGTGCTATACCTCATGTTCTGAAGCAAATTGGGTCTGGCAGTCAGGCTGAGCGCTTCATCACCATTTACAACATTGTTTCTGTGGGAAAATACATTTCCAATAATAAATAAATAAATTCTGAAAACCACCTCTCAGTGAGTTGGTGGTAACTGGCATTTCGTGGGGCAGTGACAAGAACTCACTTACAATGGACCATCTGCTCTCATGGTCAACTCTTTTCT